CTCCAATAAAAATTTAAACTTATCACTCATAACAGTACTAAAAAAATTAAAGATCTCACCAACCACACCAAACAGGCCCTGACTTAGATTTGATTTGGACTCAGTGCCATTATCTCCCTATTTCCTTACCTTTAACTTTTGCTAACGTGGACAATGATATGGTGTCTAAAACACTCAAACATTGGACTTAATTAGTGTTAAACCCATAACTTTCTATGTCATTAGATTTAAACCCTTAAATTTAAAGCAAGAATTAAGCCCTCAAATTAAGTTAACATATAAGTCTCCCAACTACTCAAGGAGCTTATATGAGCCCTTATTTAATAGCTTATGGAGGGGAAAGGAGTTTCCCTCATTTGGATATAATTGTTGACGTTCACTTAAAATTCAAATAAATGAAAATTATGTGTGAAATTAAAGAAAAGGAGTCTACCAATCACTCAAATTATAAGGTAGAGCAAGTCACCTCAAAATATGGCTTGTGCAAAGATTTGAGATTAGGGGTTGTGTGTAAATACAAGTTAGGCAAGGGGAAAGGCATAACCGCACCCCCACAACCTGTGTGAAAAACATGGCTACATACTTAACGTTGGGGATTAATTCAATGACAAAACACAAGCAAAGATCACTCAAGAAAACCATTTCAAACAACCAAATGATATTGTTAAGAACTTTTATTCATGAATTTAATTTTTTATGATTTTTAATGCTTTTAACATTTTTTGGTGTTTTCTTCTAAAATCATTATTCAATTTAAAATTTTGCATCGTTTCACATCAATAAACATCAAGCAAAACAAGATGGTCTTTTACTGTTATTCTAAAACTAACCAACACTTAGCACAGTAACCAAAAAAAAAGCTCCAAATTTCATTTCAATGTGACTCACATATATATACTAGTTAGAGCTCCGAACAAGTTAAAATTCTCAAACTTATTTATTTTTTTTCTATTTTTATAAATGAACTACATTCAATCAAAAGCAATAAAATATAACAGGCAAATGAACAGAAAAGAAATACAGGGAAACAGCCACATTTCACATTTCTTCATGAGCATTATACATGTTAATCCATAAAACAAACCACATTCAACGGCAATACTTCCCCCACTATTTCCACATGTCAAGACCAAAAACCAAAATCTCATTTATGGTTCAAGAAAGATGCATCAAAGAAAACACATTAATAAACACTTAAGATTCAAAAATCCAATTTCAATCAAGTAGAATAATGGCCATATCAAAAAGAACCTGGTAATTCCTTGTTCCTCTGGTTTTTCGCCACTTGTCCCTTGGGCAGGTACCCAAGTATGGCTGAATCAAGATGCCCTCAACGGCGATTGGAAACTCAAGATTCCTTTGCGCGGCTACTTGATTTCTTTTTAAGATCCTTATACTCCTTGCGATTTTCTCTTTCTTGGTCAGTTGCAGAAGGATGCCTGCCAAGAGAGAGGATCCCTTGAGAGGATGGTGGCAGGAAAGAGAGAGACCTCTAGTGTGAGCCGCGGGTGGTGTGCGATGGCCGAGTGGGCTCAGTTTGAGGTTGGTTGGTGAGGATCAGGAAAGGGAAGGGTGCGAGTCCGATTGGTCTTTCTTTTTCATTTTTTACTTTTTTTTTATTTTTTATTTTCTTATGTTTGTTTTCGCCTAATTCAATAATTAATCTATTAACTATCAATTTTATTTTATTTTAATCTAAAAAATTTTGAAGAATATTTCAAAATCGATTATTGTACAAATTTTTGTTAGTTTTGACGGAATAATGAACTTATAGATAAAATAAAGTAGTTTTTTAAGTTTAAAAAAAATGACATTATAATCCCAATAAAATATGATGAATTAAGGAATATTTTATAGAGATAAATAAATTAGAAATTGGAATGAAATTGAGCATCTAATTCAATTCGAAAAGAGAAACTTAACAAGCTTAAAATGGGAAGCTTAAGAAGTAAGTATTGAAAATATAATAAAAGTTAGAACACTTAACTACCAAATAAGAACAAAGAGAGAGAATAAATTAAGTAAGAAATCCTATTAATACATTTCTAACAACATGAATAATAAACAAATAAATCAGATTAACATGTATTTACTCTACATATTGGGTAAAAGTGTAATTAATATAGAAGATACAATTATTATTAATAAGATACTAGAAATAGAAACAATTAATGAAAATACTTTAATAAGAAGAATTAAAGAAATGGAAAAAATCCTTTTCTCAAGAGTTTGATTCTATTAAAGAAAGAATAAATGATGTAAAAAATTCTAGGGATTTGAAAGAAATAAAAGAAGAACTGAGGTCTATCAAAGACTCAAAGACTCTAATATCTCGAATTAGAAAGATAGAAATCAAAAAAGAAGAAACTTTCAAGTTATTAAAAGCAATCGTTGAAAATTTTGTTATAAAAACTTAAGATGTGTAATAAAATAATCCCTTAACTGGAAAGTAATATAGATAAGAATTTCTACAAGATCCAAACTCAACTTAAGGATTTACAAGATACTATAATATCAGTCTATAGTAGGCAAAATATTTTAGAAAAAAATGAAGGATTTAAAATAATCTCAAACATTTTCACAGAAAAACCTAAGTTAAAGGGAATAATATTTTTTATGTTAAAAACTCAAGAAGAAAAATTGAAAGAATTAGAAAAAAGATTCTTAAAAGAAGAAAATGTAGAAGAATTAGATAATCTGTGCAAACAAGTTACAATAACTACTAAACAACTAGAAAATATGAAAATAAATACTTAGAGAGAAGGAGAGGAACTTGAAGAGGAAAGTGAAGAAGAAAAGGATGAAAAATCTCCTAATATAACTCTAACATAATTCCCAATAAAACAAGAAGTAGAATCTAGCATTAGTCAAAGTTATAGAAGAAATAAAAATCGGATACATGAAATATTATATGATAGAAAGAAATTTGGAAATCAATCTAAACTTGAAACCCTAGCTAAAGTCAAAGAACAAATTATCAAAACCAATGGCATTTGGCTAGATCTAAACTATGTTATTGATCCAGAAAAAGTCATTAGTGATTGGGCTCAAGCCACTTGGATGGCCATAGCTAACAGAAATTGGAATGCTTTACAAACAGTTAGATTTATTGAAGTCACCGTTAGAGTAATAGTTCATGATTGGTTTGTAGGTCTAAATGAAGAATAAAGTAATATGATCATAAGTGGAAATCCTACTTTGGAAGAAGTAAATGAAAATGAATCAATTCAAGACATAATAACTAGGTTTGAATCAATTATAAGAAAAGAATTTTTAGGAGAAAATTGGGACGAAAATAAAGAGAAGTAAAAAGCTAGAGTTGGTAGAATAACAGTATGGAATTTGCAAAACCTAGAATTATATAATCTTTACGAATTAGATTAATATATTTGTTTATTCCAATAGTATTATTATAAAACCTCAAACCATGGAATGGCTAAAGGTTTAAGAGAATTATTTTTTGGAAAAATCCCTAAACCATGGGGAAAAAAACTAGCAGAAGCTTATAGAACATATGTAGAGATAAAACAAATACATTAGGTCTAAGAATTTGGTTTGCTAAAACCAAAATAAATGAGTAGTGGTTAGAAATCTATAGCCACAACAAATTAAGAAAAACTATGAAAAATGGGTTTTGTTGTCCTAAAAATAATTATCCAATCAAGTTGGGATGTAGTTATTCAAACTACAAGAAGAGAAACAAAAGATTTAAAATTAAGAGAAGTAATAAACAAAGGTTTAATAAGAATAAATTTTTTGGAAAGAAAAGGAGGTATTTTAAGAAAACAAAAATACCAAGAAAAAATAAAAAGAATCCTAAAAGTGCACATGTTGGTTATGTAAAGAAAAAGAACACTATGCAAATGAATGTCCTAAAAGATACAAAAGAGAAAGTACTAAAAATTTAAAGATTTATGAAGAAGAATTAGGCGAAATGGAGACTAGCTCTATAAATGGTGATGAAAGCATATATGAGGTAGAAAGTTTAGATACTTCCAGTAGCGATGAATCTAGATATTAAGGAAGGAGAAGCTTATTTTGAAGAATATGAAGGATATGAAAAATATAGCTAAGTAACTGTGTTCAATAAAAGTAAATACAAAAGAATTAGACAAAGAGGAATGGACGTTGCATTAGAAAAGGGATTCAAATAAAATTCCTTTATAAAATAATAAATATACCTTTGCTCATCAAAGCAAAAATTGAAAGTAAATTGTCAAAAATCAAAAAATCTAATAGATCAAAAATAGGATTTATCCGTATAGGAGGAATTCAAAATCCTTATTAAAGCTCATTTTGGAGAAGGTATAGATACTCCAATAAAGCTAGCTTTAATAGATAATGAAATTAATGATAGAAAGGATGCTATCTTAGGATTAGTACAAGGTAACCTTAGCTACCAAAAACTCATGTTCATAGTATATCTAAAGTATGCTATAAGTATTAATGATAGAAATATCAATAAGACACTAAACCTAGCACATGAATTTGCTAAAAAAAAATTTATGAAAGATGGATCCATGCCATATAGTATTTACTATATGGTAAGTTATGCATTGATCAATAGTCATCAGTCTAATCTTTTTAAAGACAAAGACTATATTGAATTTGATCCTATGTTCTTTGAAATAGGACAAATTCAAAAACTAGAAATGATCATTGAAATAGAATGACCCAAAGGATGGGAAATGGATATTAGTGAAAAACCACTCCTAATAAGAGAAAGAGTAAGACCTAGATTAATGGCATATGAGTTAGGAAGACTGTTAGTCAGAATAGAACCTGAACCAAGCCATAGAAATAATGTAGACTTAGGAGCTTTAAACTACCCTAACAAAAATAAAGAAGTCTTACCTAGGACAACCAGTATTAATATGAAGTGGTATTAGATAACATAAAGATCCCCTTTAGACATTTCAGAATAAAAGGAGATTATTCTGATGGGAAAGAATGTCATAACATTTTTATCCTAATAGATATAAGAGTGAGAGTAACACATATTCATAGCGATATGATCCCACATCTACCAAGATTTGAACTTACTAAGCCATACACATATTACAACTTTAATGGCGCAGTGACCACAGTAATTGAATATGCTAAAGTACCTTTTAGAAGAGAAGATAAGAATAAAATACCACATGAAATCACTATAACAGCTCATGTTGAAACAAAAATGACTACAAGTATAGAATTGATGCTAGAAAATATGTTCTTAATGTTAGTACAACCTTATAATATCCAAAAACATTGTCTAAAGATTACCTTAAGTGGAAAAAAAGTAGTTATATCTAGATACTATGAAAACTAGTATCTATAGTGTATACATATCCATTGGAATCAAGTATGAAGAATACAAAACATAATTCTTTCATGCTTTTATAAATATAGGATTTGGGATCTGTTTGGCAAAAACCAATGTATTCCCAAAGTGTTATTGAAAGAAAACCTCTTAAACAATGAAAGGCGTACCCATAGATGGAAGTATTATTCAATATCAAATAATAATAGAAAGAGTTATTGTTATAATTGGTGAAACTAAAGTTATAATTCCCCAAGTCTATGAAAGTAATGAAAATGGGAATGATATTTTATTAGGAAATAATTTCTTAAGCCAATTCAATCAGTATG